CCAAAACATTAGGAGCATAAAAAATCCAAATGGAAAAAAATATAGCAAAAGCTACCCAACCTACTAAATCCTTTACATAAAAATAAGGGTAAGAAGCAATTTTATCCATCTCTGAATGTACACCCAATGGATTATTGGATCCATATTGATGCAATGCGGCCAGATGAAGAAGACTGGCGCCTGCTAAAATAAAGGGGAGTAAATGATGAAGACTAAAAAAACGATTTAAGGTGGCATTGTCGACGGAGAACCCACTCCAAAGCCAAGTCACTATGGTATCTCCTACTACAGGTATGGCGCTAGCTAAGCTTGTAATTACTGTAGCTCCCCAAAAGCTCATCTGACCCCAAGGTAGTACATATCCTATAAAAGCTGTCACTATCATTAATAGGAAGATTATAACTCCGAGACACCAAACAAATTCCCTAGGACTGCTATAACTCGCATGATATAGACCACGAAAAATATGAAGGTGAACCACAATGAAAAACATACTTGCCCCATTAGCATGCATATAACGGAGCAACCAGCCCCCTTCAACATCTCTCATAATGTGTTCTACGCTGTTGAAAGCTAGATCCACATGAGGTGTGTAATGCATAGCTAAAAAAACGCCAGTCACTATCTGAATGACTAAACAAATACCAGCTAACGAACCGAACCCCCACCAATAACTAAGATTGCTCGGGGTTGGATAATCTATCAAATGCTGATGAAGTGTGGAGGATATAGGTTGTTTAAGAAGAGAGAGTCGTTGGCTCCTTATAGTCACTTATGAATTTTCATTTTATATCGTGACAACTCTTGTTCCCCCACCCCCTAAAGTGGTAAAGAAGGGTCTAATCTTCTTTCTATCTGACAGGAAGGAAGGGATGGTTCTTTCATTGCATCTCACTATTACTTTCTATTACTTTGAGAAGAGAATCGTTGGTTTGACCGACGAACTACGTGGGAGAATGAAAGACTATCTACTTGAACCTTTATAATTTATATACCTCCGAAAGTAAATACATATTCCAGAGCTTGGGCAAAGTAGGGGCTTTGTATACCCTGGTCCATTAGATCTAGGTCTTCTACATCGTTGTGTATGTGCGCTGCAATTTGTTGTATGGTAAGTCTACCAGGGAACCTCTAATCTTGGCCGTTAGGCATATTCATATATTGACATATTCATATATTGATTAAACAAAGCTTTGAGTTGAGTGGATAACGTTTCCTTGACAGAGTCGAAACCTACTGCTCAAGTCTTCCGAACCCTTTGATTATTTACGGCTTCGCTGCGGCTGTACGAGTATACCAAATAAAGGTAAAACCCGCACTGGAAAAATGTTGAACGATTTCTAGCGCTTTTCAAAAACCATTTTTTTGCAATGCCTTGAGTGGACAAGGTCAGACAGTACGATCCATCATACTATTACTAAAGTACACTGAACACTCACTTCATCTCGACATCAATTAGATCAACAAAACCAAACCATTGCCTGACGTGAACAGACGCTTTCTTCCGTATAAAGTCACGAATCAAAACCTTTCTTTATAGGGAAGGATCACTCCAAAAAGCAAGCTTTCTCTTATATACGATATACGATTATACGATACCATCAGACGCGCATTCCCTGGGATCAGAAGGTTTTCTATATTCATATTACCAATCCCCCTACCTTACCTCAGAGAGAATAGAATGAGTCGCCCTAGCCCTAGTCTTACTAAGAAAGATAAGAAAGAGTTCCACCCTTATGTTGATCCCTTGCAAAATACCAATCCTCTGGAAGCTCGAGGCTGGTCTAGCCCCGATGCCTCCACAAGGAATTCTGTCCCGGAAACACCAACACACATGTGACTCACTTGGAAATCAAGACGCCAACCAATCATCAACACGAACCAACTGTGGATCAGTTGTTTCAGTCTTCCAGGAACGGTTCACAACTGGAGCCTCAAAGAAATCTCCAACATTTCCAAGACGAGCTTCGTCTGGAAAATCCGTCTCCCTTCGTAACCAGGACCCTTTCAGGTTGGTCTACCACGGCCAAGCCACAATTCTAAGGGTTTAGTGAACATCGCTAAGAGCCTCCGAATGCGAGGTACGAAGTCGCTCGAAGAGGGGAGAGGGACGAAGACCAGAACTATAGACTCATTCTGCACCAGCCCAGACGCAAAAAATAAAACAAAGGCGCCCGAAGCTGCCTTTCTTAACTGGACGAATAGGAGAGCTTGGCTGATGGAATGGATTAGTTATAGTTTTTGGACGAAAGAGTTCAAATCAATCGAATCAAAGACTTGTTGCCTAGGAGTTTCAGTTTCAAGCTTAGCTCGTCTTTCCTGCGAACATACTAAAACATACTAACTCTTTTACGGAGTGAAAGAGCTAAAATGGTCTCCGCCGCTGCAGGTCCTTGATTTAGGAATGAACCGTCTTCTTAGTTTGCATCTATTCCTTCATCCCTTGAGTACAAAGGGATAGCTATTCAAAGCAAAGAGAAAGATCAGGATCTTCTGAGATGGAACTCAGCTGTTCACGTCTTTTTCGGGAGAAAAGTGACCCGAGGCTGGGAGGCTAGGGCTGTGACTTTCCTTGGAAGCCCTTAAGGGATCAAGACAGCTTAGGGAGGCACAGCCCCCTTGGTTGGGTTCCCTAAAAAAGAATGAAGAATGGAAGTCGGATTCGCTAACCTTTCGGCCGGACCAACTGATGCCTGACTTCTTAAATCTCATGCTCCTATAAGGTAAGGACTCCACTTATAGTGATCCAAAGTGCAGCCTACTCGTCACGTTCAAGCCCGAGCTAGTCTTCTTACCACCTAGCTACTTCACAGTGTCCTTTCGCGTACTCCTCTGTCTTTTTCCTATCTTCTCTCTTCCATTACCGAGACCCGTACATACAAGACATACAAGGAGGGCTAATAAGAATCGGAATCATTGCCCAGGAATCAACGATCTACGGTGAATTGGATTATGAGAGAGATTGGAACAGCATCCAATCCGAATCTTCACTCTTTCGAATCATAGCTTAGTGCCTTATAGTATATTTATAGTATAGTAAAGTAGCAAGCTAGGGATGAGACTTGTCAACGAGGATGGATTGAGACCTCTTGTTTAGCAGTGAACGAATCAATCCGATCTTTGCTTTGAAGAAAGCGGGATGCGGGATAAAGGTAAATGATTTAGCTCAGGGCGTGAAAAAAATAGAGTAAAGACTCTTCCTGACGTTGTCACACTCAAGAAGAAGAAGCTGTGATCACTCTACGACTTTATGTTCAGCACGCTAGCTTAAATGTCTTTGCTCTTTGACTTCTGTTGTTGGCATACCGGTCTTGGTGGGGTGGTGCAAAGAACCAAGGACCAACGACAATGAAGGTTTCAGGAAAAGGACTGACAGCTGCTCCGCTCCTTACTCTAACGAGTAAGCAATTTAATACCTCTCGCATGATTGTTTCAATGATGTATTCAATCAAGAAAGATACGCCGTAATAAGATAAGATCAGGTTACATGATTGGTCTGTGAAGGAACATCAAGAAAGAGGATCAGACTTGATCAGTTCAGGCTATGCGAGTCGTCTATCTTCACAACTGGAAATGCGCTCCGAAGGGCTCCATTGAATCTAATATTTTTAGATGTTAAATTAATTAACATTGTGTTCTTCTGTGTAGCGCACGGTGTCTCGTGCCAAGTGAAAGGAAAGCTCCGCTTGCTCCAAACCATGAAAAGAGAGTGCCCGGTCATCATCATTCCACTCCCTTCTTGGTCTACTTCGGTTACAACTTTTTCTAAGGTACGGTGCGATCAGACCAAGTGCGAGATTGGATCAAAAATAACGTATGAAAGGATTATGGTCTATCTAGTACAGTAGAAAATTAATAAAAATACCATAAGAGAAGAAAGGCTTCCTACTTGAATCATATAGTTGCTATTCCGGGTTCTTATCGAGATTGGGCAGTCTCCTCTATCAAAATAGTAAGAGAAAGAGAAGGAACGGGGTAGAGGTACGAAGTCACTAGAGAATTCGTTTCACTATGTGAAACTCATTCGACCTACGTACGTTGGTCGTACCTAGAGATTCGTTTCACTATGTGAAACTCATTCGAAGAGGAATTGGTCAACTCATCAGGC